AGTAATACCCAACTAACAAAGACCCTGGTTAAACACTGTTTATAAAGATAAAATAAATATTTAAAACAAAGACTTCCCTATGCCCGGAAGGAAAGGCTTCAGACTTTCTTGAGAGAGCCCAAGGAAAGAAAGAAGATACAAGATTACTCCCTCAAAGCCTGTAGCTGGGAGGGGCACTAGTTCCAGCAACATGGTTTCGGTCCCAGCTCTCTGCCAGCAGATCTGTCCCACCAGCCTACCTCCCAGAGTCTTGGCTTCTTTCTTTGTGGTGACTGTGTTTGCCCACTTCCTTCCTAGCTACATGTGGCTTTTCACAGCTTCCCCTTTTCCTGCTCCATGTGTCGTCTAAGGTCTTGTCAAAAATGAGGCTCCTCTTTGAGACCCTCTTCTTGTCTCAAAGAACCAACTTTTAAAGGTCGCCAGGAAGTGTCCTGTCATTCTTAATCCTATGGGGTTCACTCAAGAGACTCGTTTATACCTGGTAAAGGGATCACTTGGTATAGCCACAAGCTGTCAGTTTATTGTCTCTTTATTTGGCTCCTGTTCTGTGACTAGATCAGGGAAAGACAAACTTCCTTACTTATATACTAAAGCTGGGGTATGAATACAAGTCTTCTGATTTCTAGCCTCATGATCCCTAATTAGCATAATAGAAATTTTTTAATTGAATAAAAACTTCATAGGATCGTAGATTTGGAACTGGAAGGGTTCTTAGAAGTCATTGAAACCAACCCTCTTATTTCAATAAAGGAGGAAACAGGAGTGACACAGGTGTCAAAGATAGGGGGAAACAGAAGGGTGTAGTCACTGGGCCAAGTCTCACAGGTGGTAAATGGGAGATGTAGTATTCTACTCCAAGTTTTCTGACTCCAAATCAATTGGTCCTTATACTACACTAAAGCCCTTAGCACAGTGCCTGGCACATAGCAGGTACTTAATAAATCTTTATCAACTGCCTTAGAAAAGGAAGAAAAAAACCCAAAAAGTTAAGTGAGTTACCTAAACCCAAACAGCCCGTTAGTGACCACACTAGGACCAGAACTCAGGTTCCCTGAACTCTGGTGCAGGGGGCCCTACTGCTTTTGGTAGATATCCCATGGTATAGAGAATCTGAGAATTGAGAGAATTGGAGACTCTGTCTGCCCAGATTCTGTATTTGTCCCAGTTGTGTACATAGAGAATTTTCTACATGTCTCCAAAACACTGGGGAAAGCCTGCATGCTAGGTGGATAAAAACTGAAAAGCCCAGAGAGCAAGAGGGGAAAATACAGAGAGAACAATCTATTTTAGGGGCAGATTCTAGCAAGAAAGTGCCTTTTTTCAGAAATAGTATCTGACTTACAAAGAGTTCATACCTACCTCTATTCCAAATGATTTTATGTCTATTACTTGCCACTCAGAACGCTCTTGCCCATTACACCCATTATAACTGATGTTATAAACCATGTTATCTGTAATAGGCATAAAATGGTCGAAAGAAAGCAAGCTGTGGAGTCTGAGGACCTACCTCTGATTCTTGCAGTATCTCTCCATAGCATAGCTAAAATATGTCCATGTATCTACTATTTTTAGTGGGCTCCGTAGTATTTTTACAATAACCTACCGCAAGAAGTGCTATACAATATATGATCTTTGTATTTAGTGTGTACTAAATTCTGTACATTTCATCTTTCTGAATTCAAACCTGGCCTCAGATACTAGCTCACAGTGCCTGACTGTGTAAGCATTTAATAAATACTTGTCAAGTAGTAAGCAGCATCAGTGAAGAGAGAATATTGTGTGAAGCCTCATCATATCAACTGATATTGATTGAATACTATTTTCCTCATGACTTGCTTCTCGTTCTATCCATTTGTTCAATACAGAAAAGGGCAATTGTATTATGTAAGGGACACATAAGGATAGGGTACTGGACTAACACTTTCATTGGTATGTGGAACTCCTGGGTGAGGAAAGTCCCTCTATCTATGCATGTTGGCACATTCTCTGAAACATACAGTCTTAGAGAATTGAGTAAAGCACAGAGGGGTTGTGTCTTTTCCAGGATCATACAGCCAGTGCGTATTAGAGGTGGGGAGAGGGACTTCGACGTTCCTGGGTTTGAGGCCAGCTCTTTAGCCATCACTCCATGCTGCCTCATGGTGAGGCATTGCCGTCAGGAGCATACAGAGGCTAATAAATAATGCATATTATAAACATTTCTTTGTCACAAATGAGTCAGTATATCTTAAGCAGTGCTTGAAGAACAAGGTTCTTTTCCTAAGGCAGAAAGGGCATTTTCTCCCTCTCCTGACTCCCCCCCCCCCCCCGCCCAACAACAGAACAGCTTAAAATAGAATGAGGACATTTCATTTCATTTTATGCAAGAAGTGTGTGCCTGGAAGCTCGTGTTCAACATGAATTTGGTTAGATCTGATATTTTAAATGAAGTGGAGACTGTGCCAAGCACATCTTAGACATTCAGTATTTGCTGGTTGATTGAAAGATCAAGACACACATTTTTTTTGTAGAATGAAAAAGATATAAAAATCATAGGTTTAGAGCTGGAAGGACCTTAGAGGTCATTGTGTCTAATCCTTTTCATTTTATAGATAAGGAAACTATGGCACAGAAGATTGTGACTTGTTTAGGGTCACATAAGAGTAAGGGTTTGAGGCAGGATTTCAACATAGGTCTTCCTACGTTCATGTCCAAAATTAGTCACTGTGCCTGTTCAACCTCATTTAGCTCATAAATTTTGGCCATATGTGTGTGTGTATGTATGTATGTACGTACATAATCATACATATATTCATGTATGCACACACACATATATGCATACATGTTCTCAAAATAGGGTCACATGTACAAACAAATGAACATTTTTTTTTTATTTTGGAGGCAATGGGGTTAAAAAACTTGCCCAGGGTCACACAGCTAGCTAGTAAGTGTCTGAGGCCATATTTGAACTCATGTCCTCCTGACTCCAGGGCTGGTGCTCTATCCATGGTGCCGCTTAGCTGCCCCTGCAAATGAACATTTTAATGTATTAGAAGAGGCAGTAAGGCACAGAAAGGACTTGGAAGGCCAGAAAGAAGCACATACAAGTAGGACAGCTTTGAAAACTACAAATTGAACTCATTATACACGTTAAAAAAAAGCTGTACAAAATAGAGATGTTCAGTTTCATGTACAATCCTGTTTTTCTACTTGATTTTGTATTTGGAAAAGTTCATTTTAGTTGGCATTCATGAAATTGAGGAGGGGGGGAAGACAGACAGAGAGACAGAGAGATAGAGAGAGGAGAAAGTGAGAGACAGAGAAAGCAGAACTTAGAGACTTGAATTCAAATCCCACCTCTGACATTTACTAGCTGTGTGACCCTGGGCAAGTCACTGAAATTCTGAGCGTCAGTTTCCTCAGCTATAAAATAAGGATTATAATATTTGTAATCTCCCTCACCTCATTGTTGTGAGGCCCAAATGAGACACTGTGCTTTGCAAAATTTACAGTATTATCTAAAGTCAGTTTTTATTGGTTATTTTTATATTGAATGGGGTTTATCCAGAGATCATTTCTTTTTTTTTTCCTTTTTTTAGGCAATTGGGGTTAAGTGACTTGCCCAGGGTCACACAGCTAATAAGTATCAAGTGTTTGGTCTGAGGCCAGATTTGAACTCAGGTCCTCCTGACTTCAGGGCCAGTGCTCTACCCACTGCACCACCTAGCTGTCCCCAGAGATCATTTCTTTACAATGCAAAATAATCCTCATGAGGAAGAAAAATGGGAGTTTGAAGAGGCTGATGAGAGAATTCACCAAATACTTAGAATTTTTATAAGACATGTAGGGAAGACATAAGTGAGAGCAGGCAATAGAGGATGAATATGACAGTATAGCACATTAGAATAAGAAATGTCAGGGATTTTACTAAATCTCAGAAAGGGATGAGGTTGATGAGGAAAGTGTTCACCAAAAAGGCATTTTTTTGCGGGGGGGCTAGGCAAGGGAGTTAAGTGACTTGTACAGGGTCACACAGCTAGTAAATGTTATGTGTCTGATGCCGAATTTGAACTCAGGTCCTCCTGAATCCAGGGCCAGTGCTCTATCCACTGTGCCATCTAGCTGACCCTAAAAAGACATCTTTTAAAGAAAAATTGGGAAAAAAGAAAAACATCAAAGAAAAGAGATGAATGTTGGCTAAGGTGAAAGGTGAAAGAAATGCTAATTGTAATGATCTCTTACTGTCTTGATGTTCCTATGTGTACAGGGCTGAAGAGGGCATCCAAGGCCATCTAGATCAATTCCTTCATTTTAGAGCTGAGGGAACTGGGAGTCACACAGGCAAAGATCTTTAGTGCCAAGATATGGGATTTGAACCCAGGCCCTTGAATTCTGATACCAGTTTTTCTTCCTACTGTCCCAATGTTGTCTCCTCCTGAGCAAATAAAATCAACTTGAGGACAGGGATTGTTTTGCTTTTGCATTCTCAGCACAATGCCTGGCACACAGTACTTACCTTATAAATGTTTGTTGATTATTTAATGGTTTTCTTTTTCTAACAGGGCTGCTAAACTGGATGGCGGAATGCCAAAGATATCATTTACCTAGATTTTGGCAAGGCAATTCACAAAGTATCTGTCTCACGCTACTATAATGATTCACTGAAAGCCAACCAGGATGGTTTTGGCTTTTGTTTGACTCAATTTATCACACGCAAACATTTGTAGGGTAGCATGGCTTCCAATGTTCAGCAATTTTCTACACTTATGCACAAATCTTAATTCTGAGCCCAATTTCTCTCGCCAAAAAGATCCAGCCCTGGTGTCCAGAAGAAATATCTACTGGAATTAGGTGTCCAAAAGGAAGACCAGGGGAAAGGCCCAATGATTTCTCTCCCTTGGGAATTAGAATAGCAGTTAATGTGATTAGAAAAATCTGTAAGCCAACCCAAAGGAGAAATATGGAAAACAATTGGAAACATTTCCTTAACAACACAAATAAGAGTCCAGCAAACATACGGGTTGTGAATGGTTGGATGTGGTCACCGTATTTATTCATAATAGATTTTAATAATGCCTTAATAATGGAAAATAACACATACATACATGGAGTATAATTTTCCCTGAAGTTTTGCTTGGGCTTGGAGAAAACTGTCCAACTTTTCCTATCTCTTTGGTCCTTGGAATCAAGGAAAGAAATCTCAACCCAAAGGTCCTATACATGAAGGCCCTGGTGATATTGTCTTTCTTCTGGTCAGAATGTACATACAGAAGAACAAACACCAAGTCTTTGGCACATCCATATCCGGGAGAAGTCTTGCACAGTTCATTAATGAAAAGTGATCATCTTGGACTCCATAGCCTCCTTTTGCTTATAAACTCTAACCCTTTAGAGCATCCAGGGAACCTGGATTGTCCCCAGTGATCCAAGGGCCCAAAGATCAGGATATGGGCAAGGATATAAATAAAAATAGACACTATACAATATACATGACCCACATCACTGGTTCTGTTCTTTAGCACGCCACCCTTCACCAGCCACTGATTTCACACTGGTCAGTGGGGGAGGGAGCACTCTGCTAATTAGCTCATATTTTTAGGTTCTATTGGCAAAACCATCTGACCACATTCGTTTTCCTGGCATTCTGGATTGTGGCAGCTCCATCAACCTCCATTTCGATTTGCAGGGAAATCAAGGCACCATGTGCAGAAGCAAAGTAGTGAGTGATTAATGACAGAAAAAGGACGGATTCTACTCACTTAAAAAAAAAAGTAGATGTTCACAATAGGATAAACATTTGATCATTTCATTTTATCAAAATGATTTTTTTGTCCATCCCAAGTTTTCCTTCCACTCCTCCATTTTTGGGTCTATCTTCTCTATTCTAATCCTAAACATCACTGAAAAACATATGTTAGCACCAACATGGTTGCTTTTCACAGAGAGCATGTGAAATTGAACATGGACTTGACATAATTAAAAGCCTGTATATTCTGTGATACCAGTCTGTTACTTACTGCTTTAAGTACGAACTGCTATTTTCCTAGAAACCATTCAATTAAAATGCCAAAAAAAAAAAAAAAATACGTGATCATGTAGCACCTTAAGAGGAGTGTGGTTTTGCTTTTTTAAAAAAAATTACAATAAAAAAGTTTCAATACAAACAATGTACAGATTGAAAGTAAACCATAATGTACCGTGATAATAATACAAGAGCACTTTGTCACAGAACTACATATGATGTAGAGTACGTAAAATGCAGTAGTTTGACTGCAAAGGACGAAATGAGCGCAGAAGCAGCCACGATAGAAACATTTTACGTACAAAAATATTAAATCACAATAAATAATTTTAAACATAAATATTAAACTTTACATCATTAGGATATTCCACATATATATATATGTTTATGTACACACACACACACACACTCACATACATAAGTCTTCATGCACACACACACACACACACACACACACATGCACACACAACCAAATTTAAGGTGGAGGTATTGCATTATGATCCTTCATCCATCCCATAATGGTTTCCTTTTTAGAGCACCTGTAAGGAAAAACAAACAGATATTCTTTATAAATGCTTTGCAAACTTTAAAGTCTTCTTCTTTTGATGATAATGATGATGATAATGAGTGCTAACATTTACATATCACTTCAAGGTATAAAAAGCACTTAAAATATTATCTCATTTGATCCTTACAACTATCCTGGGAGATAGGTGCTATTATTATTCTCACTTTACAAATGAGGAAACTGAGGCAAACAAAGGTTATTGTTAAATGTGTGTGTGTGTGTGTGTGTTTGTATAATCCACATCAGATTGCTTACCATGTCAGGGAGGGGGGGGGGGTAGGATAGAATTTGGAACTCAAAACTTTTTAAAAAAAATGTTAAAAATGGTTTTAACATGTAATTGGGGAAAATAAAATATATAATAATAAAATACGTGTATATATATGTTTAAGATAGATAGACAGATAACACTGCACTAGTGGTATTCTCATTGTCTCCTTATTGTTGAATCATTTCAGTCATGTCTGACTCTTCGTGATCCCATTTGGAGTTTTCTCGGCAAAGAGACTGGAGTGGTTTGCCATTTCCTTCTCCAGCCCATTTTACAGATGAGGAAACTGAGACACTTAAGTAACTTGCCCAGGGTCACACAGCTAGTAAGTATTTGAGTCCAGATTTGAACTCAGGTCTTCCTGGTTCCAAGCCTAGTGCTCTAACCACAGCACCACCTAGCTACCTCCATTATCCTCTTAAGTAACTGTCAAATGTGCAACTCTCCCTACTTTTAAAACTTGCCTACTCTTGGGGGGAGCTGGGGTTATTCAGCACCTAGGGGAACTGGAACATGACCTTACAAGCTATCCAGTCCAAGATGTCCTTGAATATCACTAGCAAGTGCTCATTTAGTGACAGTCCCCTCCAATTCTGGACAGTTCTTATCGTTAGGGCATTTTTCTGAAACTTTCACTGATAGCAACCACTTCTGTCTTCTGGGCCAAGGAAGACTAGCCTATTCTCTCCTGCCCATTTGCCAGCCAGTCTCTCCATGCTCAGCAGCCCTACTTCTTTGAACTGATCTTTCCATGAGGTGGTTTCCAGTTTTCTCAAGCCCCAGAGGAGGCTTTGGTCTTCTTCTTTAGGGGACAAATAGCTGAGGGAGTGAAGGAATGACATGGATAGGTCCTGCCCAAAGGTACTTGCCTGTCCCACACCCCCTTCACCCTTGATCCCCAAAGACAGACCTGGTAACAACCTACCATTGTCAGAGCACTCGCACCTCCAGGCCAGTTCCAGAGGATGGCGTGCATTTCCCACAGTATCCACCACATTTCCCTGTGACTTTGGTGCCATCCTGAAAGGAGATGCATCATGTTAGGTCACCATCATGGCGGTATAGTGTTTGCTTATGTGCAGGGATGGACCTGCCCAGAGACTAGAGACCATCCCTGCTTCCTTCTTTTTTTTTTTTTAAGGTCAGAGCTTCCTGAAAGAAATCTGCTAAACAGAGAAATCAAAGACCCATTTTATCAGCAACTCTAGCAGGCCAGAACCCCACTGCAATCAAACAAAAAGTAGAAAGAGTCATTTTGTTAATCAATCAACCAACCAACCACTGAAATGATGCAATGTGCTGCCTACTTTCTGATAGAGAGGTGGTGGACCCAGAGGGAATAGTAATGCATACAGGCATATATGCTTCATCTGGAATTGTGGCTGGTCATTGCATTGATGAGAGTTACAATATTGCTATCATTGTATAAATTTTCTGGTTCTCCTCATTTCACTTTGCATCAGTTCAGATTAGTCTTTATATTCTTCTTAGGTTTCTTTGAGATCATCCTTTCGATCATTTCTTACTGTACAACAGTATTCCATCATATTCATATACCACAACTTGTTTGGCCATTCCCCAACTGATGTTTCCAATTCTTCACCATTGAAAAAGGAGATGCTATAATATTTAGATCCAAGTAGATCTCTTTCCTCTTTCTTTGAGGATGATAGGGTTAAAGCTAGTAAAGACCTCAGAGGCCACTGGGTCCAATTCCTTCACTTTATAGATGAAGAAACTGAGGCACAGAGAGGATAGATGACTTGCCTGGGTCACAAAGCTAATAAGTGCTTGAGGTAGGATCTAAATCCAGGTTTTCTTAATGCCAAGTCTTGCACTCTACCCACTACACCATACTGCTTCCAGGTTCTCTTTTGAGGCATGTCCTTTTAGGCTTTCTATTTTTTTATGGAAATGTTTCATTTCCTTGTTCTTTCTCCCCCTCCCCTAACAGTGATGTTCTTATGAATTTAAAAAAGGGGATAGGAGTTGAAAGTAATCAGAAATGGGTTCTCCTTGCAGATTAGTGACACTCTTCCTTTTCCTAGTCTCCACATCTAAACTGACCTCCCTTTTTCTGTTCATACCTACCTGTCACAAAGAGAGGGCCTAGAAGAAATGGGCAGCCCTGTTTCAGGGGAGACCTTGGTTTTTTGATAAGTTAGGCGAATGCAAATGGTCATTTCTGTGATTATAGGGACGATTCTAATAGAGAAACCTGGGGAAGACTTTGTATGAACTGATGCAGGCTGAAGTGAGAAGAACTAGGACAACACTTTATGCAATAAAAACAACCCTGGAAAGACAAACATCTTCAAAAGACCCAAGAACTTTGATGAATTCAATGACCAGCCATGATTTCAAAAGAAGATGAAGCATGCCAACAACCTTCTTTCAGGTAATGGACTCAGGATACAGAATGAAACAAATATTTCTTGCACATGGCCAATGTGAGGATTTATTTTAATAAATTATGCATATTTATTTTCCCCATGAAATTTATAATAGCTCTTCTTTAAAATTTTAACATTCTTTTTTTTTAAATTGGAGTTTCACATTTTCTCCTTCCCTCTAGCCCCTTCCCCACCCATTGAGAGAGCAAGCAATATAACCATTATACATGTGAAATCATGCAAAACATTTCCATATTAACCATGTTGCAAAAAAAATTGCAAGAAAAATAGAGAAAATGAAAAAAGTCTGCTTCAATCTGCACTGAAAGTATGTCAGTTTTCTCTCTCTGGAGGCAGACAGCATTTTCTATCATGAGTCCTTTGGAATTGTCATGGCTCATTATATCAATCGAAGTAGCTAAGCCTTTCAGACTTGATTATCTTTACACTATTGCTGTTACTATGTACAATGTTCTCCTGGTTCTGCTCACTTCACTTTGTATCAGTTCATATAGGTCTTTCCAGGTTTTTCTGAAATAACTCCCTGTATCGTTTTTTGTAGCACAATAATGTTCCATCACAATCCTATACCATAGCCATTCCTCAATTGATGGGCATCTTCTCAATTTCCAATTCTTTGCCACCACAAAAAAAGCTGCTATAACTATTTTTTACATATAGGTCATTTTCCTTTTTCTTTGATGTCTTTGGGATACAGGCCTAGAAGCAGTATTGCTGGGTCAAAGAGTATGCCTAGTTTTATAGGCTGTTGGTAACTATGCAGATTTGTTATAAGGACTTTTTTTCTTTTCTTTTTCAATTAGAGAAAAAGGAGGGAGAGAAGAAATAAATATTTGTAAATTTTAAAAAAAAGTTCAAAAATTTTAAAGGGTCATTTTTGAACCATTACAGAAGAAACCCACAACAGCTTAGAGTTGAACAAGACTTTGGAGGAGGTCTAGATGAACTGAAACCTAAATTAAAAATCTTCTCTGCAGCACGCCCAACAAATGGCCATCCAGCCTCTGTCTGAAGACCTCCAAGGACAGGGAACCAGTGCCTCCCAAGGCAGCTCAGTCCATTTTTTGAGACCTATAATTATTAGCATTTTAGTCCTTAAATTAAGCCTCAATCTCCTTCCTCAGGCATAGAAGGAATCTCATTCTCTGGAGGGGGGGTGTGTGTGCATGGATGTACGTGATTCAATTCCCACCTTCTCCAAGATGCTTTCCCTGTCTACTACATTTTAATCAGCCAGTAACCCCTACCACTTAGTACTTAATTATATATCTATAATCACAGAATTGCAATAATTACTCCTGATTCTAGAGGTCCATGGTGGCACATGGGCTGCCATTAGTTCAAAGTCTAGTTCTATTTCTGCTAAGCCATACTCCCCACCCTCCCCTCCACTCCAATTCATGGTTTTTTTTTATCCCACCAGATTATTATGTTTATTTATATTGGTGTATGTTGTGTTCCCCAATAGAATATAAGCTCTTTGATGGCAGGTATTTTTACATTCCCCAGCATCTAGTATGTTGCCTCCGCTCTAAATACATTTTCATTTCATTTAAGTCATCAAAGTCATTTAGATTTATTTGCTTTTTGGATGTTCAACTAAGTCTTACCAATTTTGGATTCTATGAATTTGGAATTCAAACAAGAAGCTGGTTTCAAGTTTACCTTTGCAGTAATTATGGAAGGAAAAAAAAGACTTGCTAAGCAAATGGGTAGGATAAATGAGATTAGAATTAGAGGGAGATCTATATGAAAAATATAGTTTTTTCTATGTGGCCCTGGGCAAGTCACTTAACCCCAATTGCCTAAAAAGAAAAAAAAGAAAAAAGAAAAGAAAAAATATAGTTTTCTAACACTGGGTCACACCCTATCCCTTATGCCTTATCATCTATTTTCGGAAGTTGAAGAGCAGAAGGCTGCCCGTCCACCTGTCCAAGAAGAAGAAAAAATTCAGAATCACATAGTACTAAGTAGCCTAGTATTTGATATACTAAAGATTTCAGTTATTCAGGCAAGAGCTCACTATTTGACAAAAACGTTTAGGAAAACTGGAAAGCAGTCTGGCAAAAACTAGGTATTGATCATCATTTCATGCCACATACACAGATGGGCTCCAGATGGGTACACGACTTGGACATATAGGCTGACATCACTAAAAAATTAGATGAGCAAGGAAGAAATTATCTGGCAGATCTATGAATGGGGACAAGATAAAAAGAGAATCACAGAAGATAAAATGGACAATTTTCATTACATAAAATTAAAAAAAGGTTTTTTGCACAAACAAAACCAATGCAGCTAAAATTAGAAGAGAAGCAGATAAATGGGTAAAAAAAAATTGCTTAGCAAATTTTTCTGATACAGTTCTCATTCCAGAGATATATAGGGAATAGATTCAGATTTATAAGAACAAGAAGTATTCCTCAATTGAGAAATGATAAAAAGATTTGGAAAATTTTCAGAAGAAGGAATCCAAGCTATCAATAGCTTGATTTATATAAAAAAGCACCTCTAAACCACTAATAATTAGAGAAATGCAAATTAAAACAACTCAAGGTACCACCTCACACTTATCAGATGGGCAAAATTGACCAAAAAAATATGACAAATGTTGGAGGAGCTTTGGGAAAACAAGAATATCAGTGCAATGTTGATGGAGCTATGAATGAGTTCAGCCTTTCGGGAAAGCAATTTGGAACAATGGGCAGAAAACTATTACAACCATGTATACCTTTTGAGTCAATGATACCATCACTAAGTCTAGACTCCAAAGAGATCAAAGAAAAAGGAAAAGGACTCATATGTACAAAAATATTTATAGCAGCTCTTTTCAAGGTGGCAAAGAAGTAGAAATTGAGAGGGCCCTCATTCATTGGGGAATGGTTTAAGAAGTTATGGCATATGAATGTTCTGGAATACTACTATGCTGTAAAAAATTTTGAAGGGGATAGTTACAGATAAACCTGGGAAGACTTGGATGAACTGATACAGAGGGAAGAGAGTGGACTCAGAAGAACAATTTTTACAATAACAACAATATTATAAAGACAAAACAATTTCAGTGAAATTGTTTACCATGAACAACTTGTGGTGAAACATGCTTCTCACCTCCTGATAAAGAAATGAGAGCCTCAGAAGGCAGATTGAGACATTGAATGTTGGACACGGCCAATTGGGAAAACTGTTTTGCATGTGTTGTCTATAACGGCAGTTTTGTTTCCTTTCTTTCTCAGTGGGGAAGGAGAATGAAAAGAAAGTGGATTTTCATTTGTAAAAAAAGCCAAATAATTAAAAATTTAAAAAAGATGAACTTTTAAATGAGAGTCCTTATCACTCAAACTAGTTCTCCTTAACTATGTACACAGGAAAAAGCACATGGATAAAGAACGCCCATTGTCCAGACTATGATATATAGTTTGATGGACAGCCCATAGAGCTCAGCTGCTGGTACCTATATCCTGGCCAGTCACAGCAAAGAGACAAGGAACTGGGCCCAGAATTGAGGAAGAGGAGAGAAGGTTGATGCATATTTTGGAAACTGTACACTGTTTTTAAGTGGCTCCAAATTGTTCAATGAAACAAAAACCCATGTTTGTGATATCAGTATCCTTTTGGTAGGTAGCTAGTATGTTGGATTTGGAGTGAGGAAAACAAGAATTTGAATCCTGTCTCATATTTATTATATGTGTGACCTAGGTCACTTAATCTTTCTCAGTCTCAGTTTCTTCATTTGGAAAATGGGATTAATAATAACACCTACTTTACAAGATATTGTAAGAATCAAATGAGCTAATATGAAGCGCTGTATAAATATTATAATAATTATCATTCTGGTGTTGCTCTGAGGCTCTGAGTTATAAAATCCCAGTTTCTTAAAAACTAAAGTTGCAGGTCATCCAAAGGACAATGGAATGGCACATAATGGGCATACACAGGTATGTTGATTTCTCTCTCACTCGCCCCACATGTCCAATCAGTTGCCAAGTCTTGCATTTCTACCTTTACTAGCTCTCTCATCTATGACCCCAGTCTTTCCCTCTGCAACTCATTCTCCACATAATGCTAATATAACTTTTCTTAAGCACAGATCTGACTATGTCACTCTCTTATTCAATAAACTGCCATGGCTCTCTATTGCATCTAGAATAAAGCATAAACTCTTCTGCTTGGTTTTTACAACCCTTTACAATCTGGTCTCAATTTAACTTTCCAGCCTCATTATATGTTACACGCTAACATGCACTATATGATCTGCCCAAACTCTGATCTTTACACAGGGTGCTTCATTACCCATCTCTGTAGGGGATAGGGTCATGGATTTTTGGATGAGGGGAAGGACTAAAATTTCCTTTCCTTTCCCACTGCAATTTCTGGTTCCTCTACCTTCTCAAAAACTTTGAAAAGCAGAGAAGGCAGTTTTCATTACAGTGTCAGGCTAAAAGACTGGTCTAAGAAACATGGCTTAAGACAATTCTACAATAGTATCAAGTGCCCCGAGAAGATACAATATAATAACAATAGCTAACATCCACATAGTACTTGAAGATTTGCAAAGTGTTTTAAATGTTATCTCATTTTACTCTCATAAGAAACTGCTGTTATTATTCCCATTTTATTGATAAGGAAACTGAGGCAGACAGTTGTGTAACTTCCCCAGAGTCACATAGCTAGTATGACAGATTTGAACTCACATCTTCCTGACTCCAAGTCTTGCATTCTAACTACTATGCAACCAAAATTCCCACAAGTTGGGAGTAGACTGGGAGATAAAATGGAAAAACTATTGCTTTTGAAGGGAGAGGACCTGAGTTCAAATCCCACCTGTCATTGACCCTCTGTGTGATCTTGGGCAAGTAAGTGAAACTCTCTGATCCTTGCTATTTTCATCTTTAAAATGAGAGGTTGGACCAGATGGTGTCCGTGGTCCTTTTGCACTCGAAATCTAAGATTCCATAATGTTATGGTCCAATAGATAGGGTGACGGAATTAAAAGTCTGGAAGACCTGGGTTCAAAGGCCACCTCCGATACCACTTAAGCACTCTCAGTCTCAGTTTCCTCATCTATAAGATGGTCATAAAAATAGCCATAGTACTGACCTCACAGGGTGGTGGTGAGGCTTCAATGAAAAAAAATCAAGGAAACGAAGCATTTATTAAGTGCCTACTACATGCCAGGTACTGTGGGAGAGATTGTAGTGAAGAGCTTTGCCCACTTGAAAGTATTCGTGATCATGTTTCAGCATCCCTGGAAAAGCTCACCTGTCACAGCAGCAGGCACCAAGCAGCCTGACACCCCATTTTTGTCCCTTTTTTCTTCATTATACTATTTTACCAATGTTCACAAAACAGAACTCCATCCTGCTAATTACCGGCATGTCTGGGTTGTGGGCTATTTCCTGCTTTTAGCTTCATGGTTAAGCGGCTCCCCTAATTACCCAAGGTTGTTCACATCTCATTGAAGAATTTACCACAGGAGAAACTTGATTAGGGGATGGGGGGGCACCAGTCAGTGCTTTACACTTCATTTAATTATCAGATTCTCTTCTCAGACTTCTGCAAAATGGTTTGAAAGGTGGTGCAGGAGGGGAAAAACCACGTTATGCTATCAGAGTGATAGCATAGTTATGAGTGTGAGTGTGTGTGTGTGTGTGTGTGTGTGTGTGTGTGGTGTTGAGGCTGGGGGGGGAGATGCTTACCGGTGACTTTTTAATTTCAGAGACAGCGTAGTTCCCTTGTGAGACCCATCTGGAGGCATCTGTTAATGACAGGCCAGTTCCATAAAGATTGATGCTAAAGCGTCCCTGAAACAGAAGGCCAAAGAAAATTCTCCGTTCAACCTGACTTCCCAAGCTACACAGAAGGAGATGCAGCTTGATAGAGCAGAGATCTTGGGGGTGTTGACCCAGGCCATCAGACACACCCCACTCATTTTACAAATGAGGAAACTGAGGCTCATAGACTTGCCCTGGGGTATACAGCTAGGATTTGTATTCATGTCTTTCTGACTCTGGGGCCAATGCTCTCTTCACTGAGCACAAACCCCTCATTTTGAAGATGAGGAAACTGAGCCCCAGAGAGGTTAGGCAATTCACCCAAGGTCACAGGCAGTAAGTGAAAGAGGTTGGATTTGAACCCGGGACCTTCACAAGTGAGAAAACTGAAGTTAGAACTAATGCACTCCTCCTGCACTACACTGCATTTGCCACATGAGGATATATATCCTCAGAAATTACAACAGTAAGTGGCCATTATAATTATTCTAATAACATCTGAATGTAGAGCGTGTTGTACCAAGCTCAGTATGACTCTTGCTTCCTTAAAGGCAGCCTTGAGGAAGAAGTGTTTTCTTGCAGGTGGCCAGCAGAGGGCACCATTGGTCCACCCATAACAGGCTTAATGCCCAAAGACGTTGGAACTCTGTTACGGAAACAGGGTCTGGCCCCTTTACTTCAAGACCCCTTGGAATGTGCTACAGCTCTCTGCCCAGATCTCCTGGGAGAAGGTCAAGAGGATCACGGGCTTGGAGTGGAGGGAGACCTTAGAGGTCAAAGGCCAGCCCCCTCACTTCACAGATGAGAAAACTGAAGTTTACATACAAGTCACAAGAGGCAGAGCTGAGGTCAGAACCCGAGTTGTCTGACTCCTAGTCAGCCTTCCCTCAGGATCCCCGTTTTTCTTCTAAGCCAAATAACATTCCTTTTCACATCTTCTATGACCCATCAGTGGGATCATAGACCCAGGGAGCTTTAGAGATGTTCCAGTTCTGTCTCCTCATTTTACAGAATGAGGAAATTGAGGCACAGAGTGGCCGATTGATTTGCCCAAAGTCACAGGTAACACTTGGTTGTTCAGGGTTTTCAAAGTGCTTTGCCTGCATTTTCTCATGCGATTCCCACAGCTACTCTGGGAGGTGGGCGCTATATATATATTATATATACACATTATATATATATTATATATACATATTATATAATATATATATAATGTGTATATATAATATATTTATATATTTTTTAGGCAATTGGGGTTAAGTGACTTGCCCAGGGTCACACAGCTGGTAAGTGACAAGTGTTTGGTCTGAGGCCAGATCTGAACTCCCGTCCTCCTGACTTCAGGGCTGATGCTGTGTCTACTGCTCCACCTAGCTGCCCCTGGTGGGCACTTTTTTATCTCCATTTCAGAGATGAGGAAATTGAGGCTGGGAGATATTAAATGACCTGTCCAGAGTCACCTGGTTAGTACACGTCAGAAGCATGATCTCACCTCGGAGTCTTTCCGACTCCAGGCTCAGTGCACCAAGCTGCCATTACCGCCTGGAGCTTTACCCGACTCTGGCTTCATGGTGGAAACCAACTTGTATCATGAATAATCTAAGTTCCCTGAGGACAGGGCTTGTATCATTTTTGTCTCGGGATCCACAGGACCTAATCCAGTGTCTTATATAGAGCAGGTGCTTAATTAGTAAATTAAACAAATTTTGGTAATTACTTTAAAAAATCTGAACTATTAATAATGCAAAATCCAGTATTTATATATGATGTATATATATAATTATATATCCTTTAATCTATACAACTGTATATCCTTATATGTAATGATTTTAAGAGGATATAGAGTATATAGATACACATGTCTATATTTGTCTATCATGTATCTATCTATCCTTTTAAAATAGTTTCTTCTAGGCACATTTTATATTGCTAGGATGTCAATGATTACCCTGACAGCCAGAACCAATTCTCTTCCTCTTCTCTTCTTCCTTATGGCACACACAAGGGTTCTAGGCACATAGTAGGTGCAAAACTAACACTTTCTGATTCAGGGTTTGAAATCCCATCTGTTCCACAAAGCCTTCTTGATTTGAAGCCTAGGCATTCTTCACCTTGCCTACCACTCCTGGCATGCTGACAGTGACCTGAAGGAACTGGGAACTTCCTTCTAAAAGCCAATGACCTTCAGGTTACTGTAACCTTCAGCAGCCCCGCTGCCCTGCTGGGATGGCCTCCCCCATTGGCAGATTGGTGACCATACTTTATTAGCCTTCTGGGGGACCATCTGGTTGATATACCCTCCAGCAAGGAGAAAGGACATTGACCCTCTTAAAAAAGGTGAGGAAAAAGCTTAGGCCCAGGTGAGCTTGGACTCATTTTATGTGATACATTTTAATTTGTCTCATTCTTTTTTTTTTTTTGGCTTTTTAGTGAGGCAGTCGGGGTTAAGTGACTTGCCCAAGGTCACACAGCTAGTAAGTGTCAAGTGTCTAAGGCCAGATTTGAACTCAGGTCCTCCTGACTCCAAGGCCAGAGCTGTACCACCTAGCTGCCCTAATTCGTCTCATTCTTGAAGCATGATAGAGTAGTGGAAAGAGCTCTGGAGTCCGGGGACCTGGTTTCATATTCTGGCCAGATTTTATCATCAATTTAGAGCTGGAAGAGACCTTAGAGGTCATCTAGCCCAGTGAGGTCAAACTCTGATAGAAACAGGGGCCGCTAATCCACACATAAAGATCCGTGGGGGTCACATAGTAACTGAGTTTTAAAATGCAACATTATCTATGTTTTATTGTATTTTTATTTGTACTTGCTAAATATTTCCCAATTATATTTTCATCTGGTTCTGGTTGCACTTCAGAGTGTTTTGGGCAGTGGGTTTGACCTCTCTGATTCAGTCCAGCTTCCTTGTGTCACAGATGGGAAAACAGAATCCCCTTAGGGGATGTGTTACCTTGACTGTACCTGGCCAGATGTGGACTAGACTGAGAGTTCTTCACTTTTGTGTGTCATGGACCCCATGGGCAGTCTGGGGAAGCCTATGGACCCTTCTCAGAATCACATTTTTAAATGTATAAAAACACATGAGATTTACAAAGGAAATTGATTACATTGAAATTCAGTTAGAAAAATACATTGAAGAAACTAATTCACTAACCCCAGGTTAAGACCCCCTGGACTGAATGAACTCAAAGGTCCTTTCCAGATCTAAATCGATGAGCCTATGGCCCCTTTCTGGGCCTCAGTTTCCTCACTTGTAAAATGAGGGAACTGGGCCAGAGGCACTCTATGATCCCCTTGTGGGCCTCAGTTTCTCCATCTGTAGAATGACTCCACAATCTCTAAGGTCTGACTTCGCTCTGTGACTCTGGTGCCCTGTCTGTTCATGGAGACCTCATCTGCAGGGCATCTGTTTTCCAAATGCTTGTGTCAGCCCCTGGCATTCTGCTGAGGTCTTTAAATGGGCAGGGCATCTGAAAGTGGGTCACACACATCAGGAACATGCAGCAGAAGGCAGTTTGGACAGCCCAGGCACGGGCCAGGGATGGTTCTTTAAAATGAAGTCACATCTGCTCCGAACAGTATCCAAAGCAAGCCCTCCATCGGATGACTCTGGCCCGGTTACACAAGCAGAAAGTGTTCCTTTAGGAGTCCCAGCTTTAAAGAACCCAGATGTCATTGGGCCCCCGGTGCCATACAAGGATGGCAAGCTTAGATCCTCCAACGCCAGGATTTCATTTGTGCCCACTGCCACATGACTGTTAAGCCCTTAAAGGACCATTCCCAAGTGCAACTGCCAGCTTTAGCTCTCTATCAAGTACAGCGGGAAGAAGGCTGTTGGTGTCAGGGGGCCTGGTTAGAATCCTGCCACCTACTACCCATAGGACCTGGGGTAAGTCACTTAATCTAGTTAGGACTCAGTTTCCTCATATGTAAAATGAGAAAAGTGGATTAGATGTCCTTCAGTTTTAATCTAGGAACCTTTTACCCACGAGTCCATTTGAAAAGTTTCTATCTTTCATTTTCTAAAATGGCAGATTAAAGTTTTTAGGAGGCCTTTCCTGGTCTCTCCCACTTGTAGCACCTTTCCAGGGAGATGAGTTTCCATTTCATCTCCATGTATTTTCTATGAACCTAATGATATCTACATGGTCTCTCTCCTCCATTAGAATGTCAGCTCCCAGAGGGCAGGGACTGTGTTTTTGCTTATTCTGTATGCTCAGCATTTAGTGCTGGGTCAGACACACATTAAGTGTACTGCCTAGCTGCCCTGTTATTATTATTATTAAATGAGATATTATTATTATCATTATTATTATTAAATGAGATAACCTGTACAGTGCTTAAATGGTAGTTGTTATTGTTATCTCATGGAGGCAAAAAGAAAAAAAAACATTAAGAATCCCTGATAGAGAGGCAGGGAACCCAAATCTATTAGAAGCTTAAATGCTTGAAATACCTTCATGGCATTAAAGTCATCCAGCCCTCTAAAGAACTGGCCCTTTGGAAGGTTTCCACTTGGCAGTGCCTGGCTTCTTTGTGAAAGGCCCCATTTCTTGATTAAGTCATTTTAATTTTCTTTTTCTCCCAAAAGCTCCCATTTCACCCCCTTGGGTGTTCAGCAACATTTGCTTAAAACTGACTGAGAAATCAAGTAGTTAAAAGGGGAAGATGCTTTTTGTTTTCAGGTGTCTTGGGTAGGAAGGGTTCCTTTGGCTTGCAGGGAGTCTACTCTATGAAGACGTTAAAACCATGTTCTAGCTCCATTCCCCATTTCTTGTTGAGACCAGCGGCCTCATGAGAGACACCAATGAAAGAGACTTTAACAACAACTTTGTGGAGACTCCATCTGCCCATCTGCACTTGGGGACCCTCATTCATGTCCAAAGTTGGGTTGAGCTCTTAACTCTCAGATAGCCCATTTCTTATGTTCCAGAACCTCTCAAAAGTCTGAAGGCTGATTTTATAGCCCTGGTCACCTTTTTTCTGTGTGTTTTAAAATGAAATAAAAGAAAAATGTGCATGTACAAAATAAAACAAAAAGAATCTTCCTTTTTTTTTAAAATTTTTAGGCAACTGGGGTTAAGTGACTTGCCCAGGGTCACACAGCTAGTAAGTGTCAAGTGTTTGGTCTGAGGCCGGATTTGAACTCAGGTCCTCCTAAATCCAAGGCCGGTGCTCTATCCATTGTGCCACCTAGCTGCCCCAAGAATCTTCCAAGAAACAAGGAAACTTCTAATTCTTTAAAGGACAAAGAAAGGGTTTTAGCTGAGCTACTTTGTCGGGGGATCATACACACATACACACATACACACTCACTCTCTTTCTCTCTCTCTCTCTCTCTCTCTCTCTCTCACAGAATCCCAAGCCTTCTCAATCAGATGGCCAATGGGTGACCGCCTTGATGCACCGACTCTAGAGATGGTTCTGGCTGCCAGAGAGCACAGGTAAGTTGTGTAGCTTGGGGAGGCTTCTGGACTACAGAGTTGTGGACTCCCAATCCTCTTTCATATTAAACGTCAGCAATTGGGGCAACAGGCGCTTAGGCATACCTGTGGGCACTTTGCAGCACTGTAGCAATCTCCAGCTGTGGCAAAAGGAACAGGACGCCCATCGTGGGTCCGTGCAAACTGCAAGTCTGTGGCTATGGGAGGGTCAATGGCAGGACAGGGAGAGAGTTGAGTTGGAGGAAGAGGAGAGATGAGAAGGGAGGGGGATTGGCAGGAGATTGGGTAAGAGAAGTGGGGGAGAGAATAAAAGACCAAGGGGCAGTGGGAAAGAAATGAGAGAAGAAGAAATAATTCAGCATGTTCTTAGCAAATGAGCTCATCCTGATGGGTGCTTACTTTGGTGAGTCAGTGAACTGCTAGCACGGATTTTTTTTTCATCTCAGTGTACAAACCAAAACATTGTTTTAAAATCACTATGGAATTGATTCTTACATCAAAAAATTTGTCAAAATACCCAATCTAAACAGAAGATAATTGGATGCCCCAGGAATCCCAGAAGAGTAAAAAAGCTGCTATAGAAGAGAATTAGGGCAAAGGGAAAAAACAGCACCTCTGAAAACGATTTCCAGCTACTTCAGAGACTTTTGTTCTCCTAAGTTTTATGCAATTTATGGGCTATTACTGCCAAAACGCAGGGCAATGCAACTCTGCGTCTTGAAATTGTTAATGGCAACTTAGAAAGTTTTCATCCAGTTAGCAAAACAAGACAACTCAGAGTTGGCTGATGCACTCAGAATCCGTACTGGAGTCTCTGAGCTTGGCAGACCAAGAAAGTCACCTTGAGACAACCCAGGAGCACAGCTCCACTGGGGCCAGCCCTGGTACCCAGGGCACACTCTCTTCACTCTCTCTGCCTGATTACTCCCATGGGTCACCAGAGGAGAGACTGAAGTAGCTTTAAATGCCCAGCACCAATGGAAAACCTTGTCATACTCCAAAAAGAAAAACATCTGTACAGACGTGGAACATAGTGGCATGAGTTCTCTACAGGCACAATGGTCAGTCCTTCCTTCCTTCCTTCTTTTCTCTTTGTCTTCCTTCCTTCCCTTTCTTTCTCTTTCTCTCTTCCTTTCTCTTTCTTTCTCTCCCCTTTTCTTTTCTTTCTCTTCCTTCCTTTCTCTTTTTTCTCTTCCTTTATCTCCCTTTCTCTCTTCCTCCCATTTTTTCAGTTTATCTCCCTTTCTTTCTCTTCCTTTCTTCTTTCTTTCTTTCTCTTCTTTCCTTTATTTCCCATTCTTTTCTCTGTCTGCCTCTCTCTGTCTCTATCTCTTTATCTGTCTGCCTCTCTCTCTCTGCCTCTCTCTGTTTCTTTCTCTCTCTGTTTCTGTATCTATACCCCCCCCCTTTCTCTCTTCCAATGCAAAAACTGCAATACCAGCTCCTTGAAGTCAAGAGCAGTCTGGATGATGCCAATTTTTTAAAATCTTGAGGGCAAATCAAGTTCAATCTACTTCAAGGGCAGAGTAATCTAATATACTGTATCAGATATAATGAGGAAAAATTAATTATTCATGATTCTGTTTTTCCTCTGTTCATTGCAACATGTTTAGGCCTTTTTGCTGCCCTCAGCTGTTCCTCTGATTAATGTCCCACATCCCTGGATGGTTGAAAAACTAATCAAAGACAGTGCTGGTCAGAGTTATATCAGATTATGGGCAAGCTAAGTGGAAAACATAATTCTGTCTCCTTTTTTGTAAAGTGACTAATAGGCAAGCAAAGAAAGGAAGTGGAAGTGTAAGGAATTCCCTAGGAGGGAAATACTCTTTTTTTTTTTTTTTTGGTGAGGCAATTGGGGTTAAGTGACTTGCCCAAGGTCACACAGCTAGTACATGTCAAGTGTTTTGTCTGAGGCCAGATTTGAACTCAGGTCCTCCTGACTCCAGGGCTGGTGCTCTATCCACTTCGCCACCTAGCTGCCCCGGAAATACTCCTCACTAATTCAGATAGCAACCATCTAGGACTATACTTCAATTCACTATATATTTATTAATTATGTACTCAGTCACTATGTGTCAGGCACTGTGCTGGACAACAAGGGCAGAAGGACAAAGATAAAACAGGCCTGGCCCTTAAGGAGCTTACATCCCATAGGGGAGAAACAACATATACATAGATTTGTTCAGTCATGTCTGACTCTTTGTGACCCCGTTTGGGGTTTTCTTGGCAAAGATATTGGAGTGGTTTGCCATTTCCTTCTCCAGCTCATTTTACAGATGGGGAAACTGAGGCCAACAGGGTTAAGTGACTTGCCCAGGGTTACACAGCCAGAAAGTGTCAGAAGAACTTGAACTAGTTTCTTCTTGACTCCAAGGACACTACACTGTGCTGCCTCTGTATAAAGCGAGCATTTCGTCCTCTCCTCCATTCCCTTCCCCCCACCCCACTCCATGCTATTCCCCATGGTAACTTACTTATTATTTGCATAGTGGTCAAATCCAGCCTGACTTTTCGGAAGGAGGAAAACCCAGCTGCTGTATAATCTTTCCGACAGTGGCAATCTTCTCTCCGGCTCCCGTTGTAAGGGCATTCGGTGGGGTTGTGCAGTCTAAACCCAGAGAGATTTCTTTCCATTAATGGGGGAGAACATTTCTCACAGAGACTACACAGAACCTGGCAGGCTGTGGTCCATGGTCCTCTTACCTGTGCCCATAAACCTCTGAGAAGTTCTCGGAGTCACTACTGATAAGCGTAATATACTCTTTGGGCTTGTCAGACTGCATCCCAGCGCAGAAGACCTAGAAGAAAGACAGAATGGCAGTTCCTTGAGGGCAGGCATTGTCTGGCTTGCTTGGATTTGTCTCACCAGAATTTAGCAAGATGCTTGGCACACAGCAAACGATGTGTTTCTCTCTCTGTCTCTCTGTCTCTTCCTCTCTTTCTCTCCCTCCTTCCATCTCTCTCTCTCTCTCTCTCTCTCTCTCTCCCTCCCTCCCTCTCATTGTGTGTCTCTCTCTCTCCCTCCTTCCATTTATCTCTCTCTCTCTCTCTCTCTCTCTCCCTCCCTCTCATTGTGTCTCTCTCTCTTTCTCTCCTTCCTTCCTCCATCTCTCCCTCTCTCTCATTCTGCCTTTCTTTCTCCTATTCTTTCACTGTCTCCCTCTTCCTCTTTCTCTCATTTCTTCCAACTCCTTTTCTCCCTCCCTCTATCCTCCTTCTCTTTCTCTCTCACACATCCTTGAAACAGTCACAACTGGGGGGGAGGAAGTACCCCACCCCAAAATCAAAAAGAGTAAATAAACAATTAGAAGAAACAAAAGAAGGTGAAATACTTTATCAATAGCCTGAAATTCACCTTGAGAATCCTTCCTGTGATTGTGAGATAATACTCCCCATCTTCAATGACACCTTTCAGCCTTTTCATCTCTTTGCAGTTTCTGGGTAACTCACCTGGGGAGGGAAATGCATGCTATAATCTTCATAGATTACTTCACACATAGTAAGCCCTTAATAAATGCTTTTGCATTCATTCATTCATTCATTCATTCATTCATTCATTCATTCATTCAT